CAGCGATCAAGTCAGTGAGGTAGGATGGGGCTTGGTTGTGGAGGCATTTGGAGACAGTGCAGAGAACTTTAAAATTGATACGTGATTTAATGTGGGAGCCAATGAACTGATTTGAGGACTGGAGTAATGCGACATGATTTTGACTGTAACGAAATGATGCGGGCGGCCGTATTCTGTATTTTCTGTAGTCTTTTAGGCTGAGCCCTGTTACGACCTACAAGCAGCCCGTTGCAATAATCTAATCTGGAGGAAATTAGACATCTGACTAGAATCTTCGCACTTTCTTCTGTGATGTACTCCCGGATGTTCCAAATCCTGCGCAATGGAAATAGCAGGTTTTACAAAGTCTGTCGATATTTACATCCATGGCGAGATCCGACTCTAGCCATACACCAAGATCCTGCACCAAAGGAGAAAAAGGAACCTGTGAGGAACCTTTTGTTTTACTATCACTTGTGATAATCTTCAGTTGTTGTGATCTGCCAATAGGTAATACTTCAGTTTTATCATCATTTAGTTTTAAAACTCTACTTGTCATCCATGGTTTTATCTGGGTTGTGCAGTTTTCAATGTTCTTGAAAGTAGCTGCTGCTGTATCTGGTGTAAAGGTACTCACAAGCTGGGTATCGTCAGCATAGGCGTAGTGGGAGGTATGGAAGGATTTGATGATGACAGAAAGTTGATTAATATACAGGAGGAAGAGGACAGGTCCCACAACGGAGCCTTGAGGGACACCACATGATAGAGTGGACTTCGTGGAGAGTTTATCAGCTACTAACACTGCCTGGCTTCTGTACTGTCAGGTAAGAGGAAAACCATGACAGAGCACTACCACCTATTCGAACGTGATGTTCCAGAGTATGTAGCAGCTTCTTATGATCGACTGTATTGAATGCTGCACTTAAGTCCAAAAGTACCAGTGTAGCCATGTTTCCACTATCCACGATACATCCACAGCAAAAATAACATAGTTTCCGTTCTTGCGGAAAGTTGGGATCTTGCCAATGTGACGTTAATTATTAACTCACTCACTCTTGCGGAAACATAATGGATACTGGGTAATTTAGGTTTCCGCTAGATTTCAGTTGCCGGAAACAGGCAATGAGAGTTTCCGCACAGTTTACAAAACTGAAACTAACAAATCTAGGTTTCCGTCAAGGTTCTACAACTGAAACTGTCATTATGAGTTTCCATTTAGATTCAATTCGCTGAAACATTCATAGTAAAAATGACTTAGCTTCCGCTGTTGCGGAAACCTATTGGATACTGGGTAATGTAGGTTTCCGCTAGGTTTCTGTACCCCGTGGACATTGGTGATAGACTAGTTATTTTACCGTCCTTCGCAGACAGGTAAGTATATAAGCTTGTTTTTATTTCATAAACACATTTGCAAATTTACGACTTCCATAGTCACAGCATGGCTGCCGATATGACTTTGATACTCACTCACTCACCATTCTACATACAGAAACTTACAATTGTGAAGTACCATTTATTTCATTTTACATGAAAAAAACAAAACAAACACAGTAACACAGTCACTGTTATGATTCAGCTGTTTCATTATTTTGAATAGCTCACATTTCAATAGAACTCAACAAAAAAGCAAAGCATTATGTATGTATGTGCGTGCGTGCGTGCGTGCGTGCGTGCGTGCGTGCGTGTGTGTGTGTGTGATGAATATCATAGTGGATGTTTGGCGATAGTAGTGACAGAGAGTGTGTGGCTGAATGTCAAGGCGTGCAAATAAATGTCCGATGCAGCTATGTTTTATTACTGTGTTAAAGTTGTATGTTATTATTGTTTTTCACCACTAGCATGATTTTAGTGACAAATTTCATATTTAAAATGCTATTTCCAAATAATAACTGAATGAAAGTTTAACTGATGACATTACTACTTTGTTATAAATGATAGATGATTTCTTAAACTGGATTGAGATATATGTTTTGCTCTGTTCTTTAATGCTATATTATTAGTTATATGTATGATATTTATTTGCCTTAAATGCTAATTCATATTCATGTTGAGAAAATAAAACAGTGAATCGTATGTAAACGTTATGATTATAACAAATTGCTTAAATTGTTTTCAACAAGAGTTTATAATATGAATAAATAAGAAAGTTTAAAATTTGCTCTATGAAACGCATATGAAAACCTGTGAACCTGAAACTGGTAACTGAAACTATGCGGAAATTATGTCGGATTGTTGGTAACTGAATCTCTGCGGAAACGTGTTGGGGTCTTAATAACTGAAACCTTGCGCAAACCTGATGGATTCAAAGTTAACTGAAACTCAACGGAAATCTGTTGGAGTGTTGGTAACGGATACCTTGCGGAAACCTGTTGGAGTGTTGGTATCGAATACCTTGCGGAAACCTGTTGGAGCGTTGGTAATGGATACCTTGCGGAAACCTGTTGGAGTGTTGGTAACGAATACCTTGCGGAAACCTGTTGGAGTGTTGGTAATGAATACCTTGCGGAAACCTGTTGGAGTGTTGGTAACGAATACCTTGCGGAAACCTGTTGGAGTGTTGGTAACGAATACCTTGCGGAAACCTGTTGGAGTGTGGGTAACGAATACCTTTCGGAAACCTGTTGGAGTGTTGGTAATGGATACCTTGCGGAAACCTGTTGGAGTGTTGGTAACGGATACCTTGCAGAAACCTGTTGGAGTGTGGGTAACGAATACCTTGCGGAAATCCTTAGAAAGTGGGTAATTGTAAGTTTCCGTCATTACGGAAACTCAATGTAAAAGAACGGAAACTCACTGGATTCTAGGTGGAAACTTAAGATTCAGTCCACTTTCCAATGCGGAAACCAAGTTATTTTTGCTGTGATCTAAGATCATTGACCACTCTCAGCAGTAAGTTTTCAGTGGAATGATGCTGTCGGTATGCAGATTGAAAAGAGTCCAATATGTTGTCCCATCAGCGGTTTTGTGGCGGCTCTTTCAATCAACTTGGACAGGAAGGAGAGGTTAGAAACTGGCCTGTAGCTTTTCATGACATTAACATCAAGTTTCTCGTTCTTGATGAAAGACTTAACAATAACATCTTTCAACAATTTTGGAAAAATTTCCCGACGACAAGCTTTTATTGATGATATCTGAGATGGTCGGTAGTAAAATGTCGACATGCTCCACTACAAGCTTTCATTGATGATATCTGTGATGGTCGGTAGTAATATGTCGACATGCTCCACTACAAGCTTTCACTGATGATATCTGTGATGGTCGGTAGTAATATGTCGACATGCTCCACTACAAGCTTTCACTGATGATATCTGTGATGGTCGGTAGTAATATGTCGACATGCTCCACTACACGCTTTCACTGATGATATCTGTGATGGTCGGTAGTATTATGTCGATAGCTCCACTACAAGCTTTCACTGATGATATCTGTGATGGTCGGTAGTAATATGTCGACATGCTCCACTACAAGCTTTCATTGATGATATCTGTGATGGTCGGTAGTAATATGTCGACATGCTCCACTACAAGCTTTCATTGATGATATCTGTGATGGTCGGTAGTAATATGTCGACATGCTCCACTACAAGCTTTCACTGATGATATCTGTGATGGTCGGTAGTAATATGTCGACATGCTCCACTACAAGCTTTCACTGATGATATCTGTGATGGTCGGTAGTAATATGTCGAGATGCTCCACTACAAGCTTTCACTGATGATATCTGTGATGGTCGGTAGTAATATGTCGACATGCTCCACTACAAGCTTTCACTAATGATATCTGTGATGGTCGGTAGTAATATGTCGACATGCTCCACTACAAGCTTTCACTGATGATATCTGTGATGGTCGGTAGTAATATGTCGACATGCTCCACTACAAGCTTTCACTGATGATATCTGTGATGGTCGGTAGTAATATGTCGACATGCTCCACTACAAGCTTTCATTGATGATATCTGTAGTAATGGTCGGTAGTAATATGTCGACATGCTCCACTACAAGCTTTCATTGATGATATCTGTGATGGTCGGTAGTAATATGTCGAGATGCTCCACTACAACCTGACCTGGGACTGGATCACTCTGACATGTAGTAACGTTGGCTGTCTTGATCAGAGCACGAACTTCAGATACTGTAAAGGGTTGGAAGTCAACTAGTAGAGTTCCTTTAAACGGCATTTCCTCTTGGTGCATGACCTGTTGGGAGCCTTGGAGAAGAGTATTCCGGATATCTTTGATTTTAGAATCAAAGAAAGTATTGAATTGTTCAGCTAGTTCAGAAGCAGTAGCTGATGTCGGCAGGATTACCTCAGTTTTCCCACCCATGAGTTAGTTCAAGCATGTCTGAAGATGACTTGGTTTGTAGCAAGATCAACAATCTGCTGTCTGCAGTATGCACGTTTGCTTTCTTGAATAAGTTTACGACACTTACTCCTCATAGACTTGTATATTTGACGGTCAATCTCGAATTTTAACTTACGCCACGCTCGTTCCGCCCGGCGTCTTTCTGTTTTTGCCGGAACTCTTGTGGTGTAGAAGGAACCGCTCTAGCGTGTTCCGATCATACATCTCAGGCAGACAACCCTCCGTCGTTGTGAATGGACAAATATCATACTACCAGGAGCTAGAGCTTGGTGTTCCCCAAGGGCCCGTCCTAGGTCCTCTGTTGTTCACCATATACACATCCCACTCGGTGACTTAGTGAGATATTTCGGATTGGGTCTGCACTTGTATGCAGACGACACCCAGAAACATTTCTAGTTTTCACAACCTCACGTGTGCAGTCAAGACTATCCTCGCCTGTATTTAGCATAGGAGGTTGTTCCATCAAGCCCAGTTCACATAGATACAAAATGTGAACTCGACATTTGTTAAATAACATTCAAAAGAACTGGAGACAGCTTTTAGAAAACAGAATTATTTGCTTAAATCAATCTAAACATTATTAATGTGGTTTCTCAAAAGTTAAATGTTCGATGATATTCTATGATAAACTGATTAAGAACAACAATACTCCTAAGGTAATATTATTCGTTTATTCGTTTTTAGGCCATCGGCCCATGTACATCATTGAACATTAATATACTCACAATGATTATACACTGCGGAGAGAAACAATATTTAACATATTTTGCTACATTTAGAATAATTTCATGATCTTTACTGCGTACTAGTAACTTATAATAATAAGAAGTAGGGTTATCAGAAAATCTAGATGGTATATATTTACTCTGTTATCAAATTATACATTGGGCAGACAAACAAACAGTGTATAGCATTTTCAACTACATTATCATTACAATTCTTACAGAAGCACAAACATTCATCTATACCCTACCTACGACCAATAGTTGTTTGAATAGGTAACTCGTCTAATCTAAACAAACATAAATATCTCCTAAACTCCCAATATCTAATATTCATGATATAATATTCTGCATCAAAACACGATTTTAACTGGAGATAATATTTTAACCTATCAGATGTACTTATGTTATTAAAATAAACATGTATATTACATTCACGTAGGCGTTGATAAAAAGCATTAAAAACATATCCACATTTCCAATATCCTGAAACAGCCAACATCATCAAATCCGAAATTGAAATGTAATTGCCTTACCCAACTTGCCCATGTTGTCCTGCCAGATTCCTCAAGTCGTTTCATTAAAAGATAATTCTGCCTGGGATACCTACTACACTCCATCCTCAAACGTTTGCACCAATAGTTCACACATTTAACATGATAATCTACATACAATTGATGTCTACCACGCCAAAACAGCATTACTAGAATTATATTTGCTAAACCCTAGCTAGAAATTAGTATAAAATTATTCTAGCACTAAATATATCTGATATCCCCCCAAATCGGCACCATACAGGTTTAATTTTAATGTCAGACAATTTAAATGAAATATTAGCTGGCAATCCTGGGAACTTAAAAAGTAACTTTGTGATGAAAAATAGAGCCTTATTACCTTTGATAGCTAACGTATCAACACACTTTGTCCATGACAATCTATTTGAGAAACACAAACAACAAATAATTGTAATAAGTAGTAACCTTTATCTGAGAGCCACTAAAAAACCATTTGATTAAGACCAACGATACTCAGGTACACAACATGCTGTGAGTTTTGCGTCCGATGGCCAAAATATTCGCTCTGACTCTGTATATGTGTTTGTCTGCACCACTCCCTTAATTGTGGGTTTTACCAAATTGGTCAACATTCGTGACCAGAATCACTTTTGATTTTGACAAGCCTTGAAATCACTGAAATACTCCTAAAAGCAGTGTTCAACCAAATCGAGTTCAGCTGTGGTTCCTATACCATGGGATCAGCTGTGGTACCTATACCATGGGATCAACTGTGGTACCTATGCCATGGGATCAGCTGTGGTACCTATACCATGAGATCAGCTGTGGTACCTATGCCATGGGATTAGCTGTGGTACCTATACCATGAGATCAGCTGTGGTACCTATGCCATGGGATTAGCTGTGGTACCTATACCATGGGAATAGCTGTGGTTCCTATACCATGGGATCAGCTGTGGTACCTATGCCATGGGATTAGCTGTGGTACCTATACCATGGGATCAGCTGTGGTACCTATGCCATGGGATTAGCTGCGGTACCTATACCATGGGAATAGCTGTGGTTCCTATACCATGGGAATAGCTGTGGTACCTATGCTATGTGATCAGCTGTGGTACCTGTACCATGGGATTAGCTGTGGTACCTATGCCATTGGATCAGCTGTGGTACCTATACCGTGGGATTTGAGGTTCATCAGCAATGAAAAGCACGAGGCTACAGGGTGTGAGGTGGCATTTATTATTTTATGTATAATTGCACATTGATTATTGCGGAACGAATCCACCAGGGTATAATGTCCTCCTTCAACATGAAACCCTGAACAAGTTGGCATCAATGTACACTTGCTGAGGTAGCATGTCATAAATCAAATACACCAAGATTGAGACACATGGTACACCCCAGTTATCTGCCCCTGCTTCAAGTACATGCTGCACATAACATGATTATTACAACATAGATTCCAGAACAAATAAAATAAATACAAATCACATTTTTTAAATTTACACGCATATATACCATGGAAGTATATAATACATCTATACTGACTTTCAGACGTATATATACAAATCGCATTAAACAATTTCAATTTTTGACTATTGTAAGGTTAGTATCTGTGCCTTCATTGATAATCTTTGCTGGAGCATGCTTCACCTGTACTGTAACATTGGGCGACCACTTCTCAGTTTGCTCATATCTCGACATCTAAAGGTGTGTTCTTTGTACATAAACAGGTATATCTGAAACTACACTAGCAGGACCTACGACAACAAAAATATTGTCCTGCAGCACAAAACTATAACACTGCCACACACACCCCCCTACCCATGAATGACGTCCTCGTTATGGAACCAAATACATTGCAAGAAGCTTCAAAACAATTGTCTATCTATGACCTATAACGCTGCAACAATAAATCATTACACTTTCTCTGGGTGAAACAACACGATGTTTCTTTGAGGCAGGTTCATCCTTTACTGTATTTTCTTGGGTGTCTACAACGTGGCTTGTCATTTCATCATGAACAGAAGGGGTGTCAGTGGGACCATTAGCAACTTCAACATGACGGTTTCGTTACTTCTAACATTCTTGGCAGAGACTGAAACATATGTTGTTACACTACCATTAGATCTATTTCCAGGTTTGAACAAATATGTTATTACTTTGATCCATCTTTCCACAGTCTAAAAAGATCTGAACTTTTACCGGGGCTGTAACTTAGCAAAACAGGTCGCCTTGGCCCTACAGTTCGTCGATCGATAAAAATGGTTGAGTTTGTATGGAAATATAACGATTCGTTATCACAAAAGATCTTTCGGTTTTTCCCGTTCCTCATTATTTGTTAATAATTGTCAGTCACGTGGCCGCGTTAACTTACGAATTCCAAGAAAGCAAACGGGGCGTTTGACCATAAACACCTCGGGATTTTACGATGATTAGCCTGAAAAGATATAGGTCCAAAAACATGAATGACTTGGTAATTACTGAAGTGTTGCTATATCTAAAGATTTCTTTTCTTATTACATGTATTTCTCTCAACAAAGACAATTCAACTTGATTTGCGTAACATTTTGCACACTGGTTTATCTTCGATTTGGGGTAGAGATTTCACTAACAGCTATAGCATATAATACAGCCTCCCAGATGCATCCCTGACATAATGCCCTTGCACCGTTACATTTTCACTCATTGACCCATACGTATACATTCTACCTTGACCAAATATATAACACAAACCCGTTGTCTTTATTTAATAATACCAAGATCTTTGTCACACAAGAAACTAGTTTCTTCCACACACACTCCCCATGAAGTGATGGACCATGAGTTTCACCACCTCTGCATTTGGATGTAAACCCGGAACTTCAAATGCCAAAGTCATCGGAATAAAATCAAGAAAGATAACTCGGTCCTTGATCAAAGAAAATTCTTCTTTCAAGATTGGATCATACGACATAGCATTCATGTCTCCAAATTTATCCCTTTCAAAACGTCTGAAGGTGCTCGTTCCTTTGACTACCACGATTGCTTTTGGGACCCTCAAAATAAATTCTCTGATGCTTTTCACGTTCCTCCGAATATGACCTCTAAAAACATCAGGTCCAAAATTGACCAGATGAGCTAATACATGAAACACTACAATATCTCTGGAATAGCTTGGAATCTTATCAAGGTACTGTTTCAAGGGTTTGTTAAACATTGCGTTAGTCCAGCCATTCCCTGTGTTGAAAGGAAATTCATGGGGTCCACAGAAAATTGAGCTGTTTGTGTCGCTTAGATAAGCTACTTGTGGCTTGTATTTTTCGTAAAGAACCATCTCCTTCCCAAGGAAACGTGAAATGTATTCAAACCATTGCCTGGTTGTAGAATCTCCATACAGCCACAGGCGCTTGTTTGTTAGGCATCGCTTATAGTCCAGTACTGTATGTTGTATTGAGTACCGGCAGTGTTGAGAGTACCAGGATGTCGTTTTGTTGTCACGTGAGCTGTACCCTGAAGAAAAGTCGTCCTTCCAGGTGTGACTTGCTGGTAGTTCAGAACAGCTGGTCCGTGACAAAGGGCGAAAGGTACCTGTCCATAAGAAATGTTATCGTCACTGGCTACAGCTATATTTATATTACTTAATATGTTATTGTGATATTCATGTGAGATGAGTGCGTGAGAATGGTGTTTTCGGCTTTAAGTAATATTGCAGCAATATAACGGGGAGGAATTTAACAGATGACATGTTTAAGACGAGACAAACGCCGTGTTTATAAACCTATAGTTAATATCTCAGAAAGGGTATTAAAAGTACAATGGAGAATGACATGATTAGATTTGTGTTTTTAGGTTTAACCCCGCACTGAACAGTGTTCCAGCTGTTGGACGCCGGTCTGTCGATCATCGAGTCTGGACCAGATTGACATCATGTGCTTTGTTGACCTTCGCAGAGGGTATACGATGAATGCATAAGCCATAAATTATGAACGGCCATTAAGTCGACTCATTAAGACAAGCACGGGTTGCTATAAACTTACTCTAACCCGGATCGTCACGGACCACATTGATCAGAGGTGGGTTTGGGTGAGGTAATTGTGGTCAACGTCATGTTAACGTTTCCTCCATCCAAAATGGAAGTGAAAGCACTTTTGTGACTAACTACTATTCTGAACGGATGCAAACTAACTGTACTATTCTGAACTAAATAAAACCAAGCGTGTGCTCTTCTTCAGCGTGGAAGGAGTATATTGCTTACCTCGAGTTATGGACGTGGTAATTCTCCGTAAAATCTGATGAGGAGGATGTCTTTCAAAGACAAAAACAAGATATCAGTTACAAACGTTTTGACTTCATTTATAATCTTCGAGGAAGTTAAAATAAATGTGTTATTAACTTTCAGTTACCTTCGCTGCTATATAGTGCCTGAATTGTTTATGTATTTCAGCATAACGTAACTGTATGATGACTTTAGTTGGTTTCAGGTTTACCTACTTTGAGAATCATGCACACAGCTTTCAAGTCTGAGATCATGAAGTTACAGTTACAATTATTATATATTTCACGTGTATTACAGTAACCGAAATCCTGATATAAATCATTATGGATGATAAAACAACGTATACAGGGGAAGGGGTGTGAAAACATCGCCAGGCTCACCTTTTTATGAAGAGTTTTTCGGCAGGTGTGTGATAATCACCCGCTACAACTGATTGGTGGCTTTTCAACGTCGAACATGAAAGAAGTTTTGTTTGGGGTCTTTCGCAAAACCATGGATGTCCGCCATTTCTTTCAGTATAGTTACACATTTTCTCTGTTGTCTTGGTTATGTTGCATCGAGTTACCTCCCTTAAAGGCCCCTTTCCGAACAAAGCATATATGAATGTGTATGGAGCATTTGCTGAACGAAGTCTGTCTTTGATATTTAGAAGTTGTCTTGTCCAAGCAATAGATACCAGAATGACAGGATGTCCCTCCCAGAATGCTCTTATAATTCCTGTGTAGCTTCCGTTTCCGTGATCAACGACGTGGCCGGAAGTTCTGTATCTGCCATCAATAGATTTCATCCATATCCGTACGTCATCTCCTCCTGTATCAACTCTTTTGCCCTCTTCGTCCTTCAACATGATGGAGACATTTATGACGTCTCCGACTTGAAACTGATCCATTCCAGTGATGTGTACTTCGGAATAAAGCGGATCAGCAACGCCAGTGTCACTTGAAAGTGGCAGGTGCAGTCTTTTCCTTGGATGTGTGAAATGTGCCTGAATTGATATATCTCGATCATTTTCTTTCCCTTCTGATTCAGTTTTTGACGACACGACTGAGATGGATGTTGGCACCATACCAGTACTGCTGGAACTGACAAAATAGAAATATACACATGGAACAAAGTATTGCAGCATGATATGGAAACAGTTAACAAGTTAATATGGTAACTGGATTGATGTAATAAGAAATCAATGGTATACACGTACGGTGCTATACAGAAAAGCGTGCTATATCATCATTATTTGATCATCATTCATAAGCCCATGCTCAAGATATTGTCGAAATCGACCAATCCTCTCAGGTGTCTTGTTCTTGTGGAAATTACCCTTCTATTTGAGAATATAGGTACCGTGTAGGGGTAAATGGATCAAGGCTAGCTCACTGTTTTTGTTAGACTCGGGTCCCTGGATTTTCCTGTCAGATATAGAAACACCCAATCAACATGTTAATATATTCCCCTAGGAATGTGTTTCACCTGTTGTATAGACACCAGCTGATCAACAAGAGTGTACCACAGGTCGTCATCAACACTGCACATCGTCGGTTACGTCGTGACTGCAGCATCGTTAGGGTCATGACACACTTCACCTTCTGCAGCTGCTTGACCTGGAGTATAATGCCCAGAGGAAATATTACTTGATACATCCTTCATGCGCTCATGCGTGATACTAGGAACAAATGAAGGACAATGACACACAGGCCATGGAGAGTCAGATTATCGAATTCTAAATGAGGTAATTGTTAGAGTGGGTGTTGATTAAACACCGCATTAAATACCTGTGTTCAAAGTATGTGCACCTATGTTCAATTGCCAAACTGCCCAAATAAGTCTTGAGCCCGATTCCAGTCTGGAATTAAAAGTAGCGCACCTGTTGAGTCCATAATGCTTTTTATGGTCATGGGCGTATCCATGTATTTTATTATGTACCTGTACTACACAAAAACACAATCAGTTTGTTCCCGCTGCCAGTACAAGTTTGTATACACTACGTTGACCCATCACCTTTGCTGTGTAGTGGATATTGTGAATTAAAACACGTCATCCCCAAAAGTTGTTTTACAGAACTGTGTCGGGCATGGGCTGGGATAAGCATCAGAATGACAACAATAAGTCAATGCTAAAACTGTTAACAAACATGTAACGTTTGAAGTGTGAAAGCAATGACACCATAGTCGTTGTCGGGTTAAGGTGGAGCAGAGTATATTGACATCTTCTTTCCAATTGTAACACATATAACCGTAGACTGTGTGGGGTTCCTTTTCAAAATGGACGATAATTCTGCTAATGAACGATAAAAGGATAACAATGTACACAACAACAAATGATAGAAACCGGCTGCCAGCAAAACAAAGTTAGGCCACTATATTGACTAACCAAGGTGACTAAAGATCCACCAGTGTGGTGCGTAAGGCATGGTTTAAAGATCACATATACCCTAGGGGGGTACAAATACATAAATCACTAACTCGCATCGCTATAAATGAAACCCCGTCATTAAAACTACTCACTTCGGTCTTTAAGTAACTTAAATCGACCTTTTTGAGAACAGTGCACAATTCTCACCCGCGAACGAAATTTCAACCAATCAGAGCGGGGCGTCTCTGTGACGTCATATGAGGAATAGGTATGAGGGCCGATGCAGAATCTACATTTCAGGGGGTATATTATCTTGTTTACAGGTTTGTAAAAACCTGAAATCGTGACAACTGTTGTGGAAAATGAAAGCTATATGTTCGCACAATCTACTGTCATTTAATTTTGTCTCCTGCTTTGCCTAGTTTCCGAGTTACAACTTGTTTTCATAGACGATTCTGTCAAAATCGCTTGGTGTCGTTAGGCCTTATTTGTATAATGACTGATCCAAATTGATCCCATTTCTGTGTTTTTTTTACCTCGATATTTAATCATGTCATGTAAAAATCTGTTTGTATTCCCAAAACAGTGTCGGCCCATAAGTTTTCACATGCAATACAGCAATTAATACTCCCTTGTTGTAACCCGTGTTAGGTGGTATAAACCTACACATGTTATTTGTCATCATTCACTTGATGGTCAGTTAATGAATTTATAACAGGTATAATTAGTGGTAACACACTTAGATTACGCGACAAAGGTTCCCATTTGGCATTTCTTGTGTCTGGAGTAAATATTCAACATTGTGAACATCGATCAAAGGATTAACCGATAACACGCTGATTGATTAATTACTTTTACCTTATACAGCGGATTTGTCAAAAGGTAGTGTTTATGTATGTAGATTTACTAATATATACTGAATACACTCTGTCGTGTCGGTGTCTGCGTAAAAACAACGTCCTTCTTTCAAAGGATTAACCGGCAATACATTGATTGATTGCCCATTATTGGCTAATTAAATTACTGTTTTTAAAGAAAGGCAGACATTATGCAATTAGTTGCCAGGTGTGCTATCTTGGGTGACCAATGAGACTATACACCAATGTGAAATACCTGAAAAGATTTATCACTTTTTCGTATATTAAACTGTTAAAAGACACATCACTTGGAACAGCTGCAGATGAATGGCATATCACTCGTTTTTGTGGATATTGATGGATACATTCCTCGAACAAGGTAATAGCCTGACATTGTTCCTATAACTTTAATCTGTTTTAATTTTAATATTTGCATTTTGTTTTTATTCATTTGTCGTAGCATTCAACAGAATCATTGTTTTCGCCGTGAAGTGTAATGAGACAGACAACATACAGTGGACTCTGTCAATACCGGCCTCTCTTAACACCGGCACTCTGTCTACATCGGCACAAAGTTTCAGTCCCGGCAGAAATGCACGTTATTATCATTTAGAAACCTCTGTAAACATCGGCATCTGTCTATTCAGGATATCGGCATTGTTTTTCAGTCCCAACGAACAAGTTGTTATGAAAACGAATCTGTAAAAACCGGCACATGAAAGACGGCGTAACCCTTTGATGCAATTAGGTCCAAATGATGTAACAACACAATTCGTTGTGACTCCCGAGATTATTCAGAAACGGGAAGTGTTAATCAGTACCTTGTTAATCATTGAGTGGTAGTGCGTAACACTTACATAGAGTAATTAATACATGTAGTGGGCAGTTTGACTGTATAAACAAGCAAGTGTTTACATTTTGTTGATTCGCTGGTATTTACTCCGTGATTATTCAGAAACGGAAGTGTCAATCAGTTTCTTGTTAATTAGTGAGTGGCACGTGTCACTTACATAGAGGCGAATCGTTTGATGGCGTGTATCGTTCGAAAGCTCTGAACATCAACAATATCACTGTTCTCTTGCCGAGAGTATTTTCACATTTGTAAGAAGCGATTTTATTGGATAAAGATTGGTTTCTAACGACGCTTTTTCACTACACTCTGCTTATAAGGGTCGTGATTGGTCAAAATCAGACACGTGACCTAAGCAGCCAATCATATTATGGAAATGGATACCGTCCCCTAAAAGCGAAAAGTTTTAGATTAAGGCGAAAAGTTTTGGGTAAAATAATGCTATTCTGAACATATTAAGAAAGACATCGCTACCTATCGTAAATCATGGAACGCATTGGACATATCGTGCTAGGTTATGGCCTATGACAAAAATGCTTCAGCATATATTTTCACATTAAGCATCGTGTGAAAGCCGAGATGTAACTTGTCAGTGACTTGACTTACATTGCATGATCGCTCAAAGAATGGAAATAGTAATTTTATATGTACGTTTGACAACTTTTATGAATGTTATTGTTGATTTCAATTTATTTAATGATTTCCTCGATGTTTGAAACATCGTTACTTTGCTCTTTGACAATGCTATTGTAGACCCGCTGCGAAGCATAAACAAGAATCGTTGTTTGCAATAACATTGCGAAAAAATAGTTTATAATTTTAATTCTGCCGATAATATATGATCAGTTGAAATTTAATAAGAGATTTCAGACATTTTTATTTGATTTAAACAACATGAATGTGCATTCAGACACTGCCTTGTTTCTTATTCAAACATCTTGTTAATGCTAAAGTGACAGTACGACAGCGAACTTCCGTGTGCGCAGGCGTCATAAGCGAACCTAGCTAAACCGGCACTCTGTCAAAACCGGCATTTTTACTTGGTCCCGACTGATGCCGGTATTGACAGAGTACACTGTACACTAGGGTGTGTGTGCGAATTATGATTCACATTGGCAAACTATAAAATATTACAGTTCTGTTATAAATTCACTATAAGTATCAGCAGATCGTCTGCTTTTCATTTAGTTTCAAAATGCATACAAGTATGATAATAAACTAATTAGGATTATAAGACCAAACATAAAGACGTACAGTGACTAGTATCTACATACACAAACTGCGGGGTCCTGTGGAAATCTGTGCATGGTGACACCATCGCTCGACCCCTAGGACCAATTGACGACAAAGCAACGATTCTGCATGTCGTCGTTGATGTCGAGGAATCATCAAAATGATGAGCGTGCTACACACTTTCTATACAACTAACTGAAAATCGTTCCTCATATGACGTCACTGCAGTGCTCTGGCGACAGAGTTACGTAACCTGTCTGTGGTTTCGTTGGCGGGCGAGAGTGAAACAGGCGACTTTTTGGCAACTTTGGAGGTCGCCTTCGCCTGTTGGCATTTCGGCAGACCTATCTCTGTATCAATTTCCCAGTTGTACTTTTAGGAAAGTCACTATGTTGCAGTTGAGATTATTTTAATATAAGTCATAAAATGCAAATAAATAATATATGAAAAATAGTTCATAAAGGTTTTTTGGTTGTAGTATTTTATAGGTTATTTATTTCATGTGTGGTGAGAGAGTTCATCAATTATATTGATGACAAAGGTAGCATTTCAAGAGAAATGCATTTGTTCTGAGATCACTGTATATATTTAGCTCTTGACAAGGTCAAGGCTGTCAGGCAAGGCTCATAGTTCAAGGTTGTGTCATGTGAGGTCACGACACTAGCAATTGTTTATCATGTGGTCAGTTATGCTGATTTCTGATTGGTTAATTGGCAAACAGTTGGTTCTGTATGTTGCACCTGAGCAATTAACCTTCACTTCACATTGGGACACAGAGATTGACAGGTGAGCCATCTTGTGTTGGCGTGGCATTTTTACAGTGCTTGTTGGTACAGGTAAGACAAGTATTATAATCCAATTGATAGTAAAATAATATTGTATCTTTAACTATAATTGCATTGTAGTTTCTTGTAGTTAATAAATTAAAATTAATAATTTACAATAGTTTAAATAAGCTTTTTGAAATATTATCTTTACAAATTTACAGTTACTTTCCAAATTAAATTATTCCACTTCATAATATAATTCCTTGCACATTATCATTCCCAAAAGTGTGATTTGTGACTGAATGAATAGCTGTACTGTTTGTGTACTACAGACAGTAGCGTGTATGCTGCAGTATGCCATGTGGTCTTGAAACGCTGTATACCATATACACGTGAGTGAATGCTGTGTATTAATGAGTTTGTTACATGGTATTAGGCTGTGTCACTCTTGGTTTTATTCTTTATATGTAATGTGAGAATGTGTATGTAATTATGCAATATTATAAATGGGAATTTGTATCATAATTCAATGCAGTGTAATG